GTATAAACAATTTTCACTCAGAAATTGCTAGTAGAGCATAAGAAACAACATACTGAATTGTGTGAAAAGTGAAATTTTGAAAATAGTATTTTCTTGTCAAATATACTCCTATAATCTTTATATTTACTACTTTTAAAAAAATGCAGTGTACTGTATGTAATTTTATGTAAACAAATGTTTATGCATACTTTGTAATTGCTAGAATTTGTGAAGAGAAAAAAAATCTAATTACATACCAATGACCACCTCTCCTCCATACAACCTTAGATTTTTTAGAGTTAAATTTGTAGTACCTAAAGTCTAGTTCATGATTCCACAGAGGATTACACCAAAAAGCGGGCATAATTCCCATTGCTCCTGATATCACACTGCTGAAGTTGATAAATACTTTGCTCTGTTCACTAATCTGCCCTGAACAGTAATCCATATTCATAAAGCTGACAGCAAGGGTTCCGGGAAGCTTCATAATGATGCTGTCTTTAGGTCGTTCGCTAAGCTCACAAAAATCAAGACATAAGTAATGACGGTAAAGATTTGCAAGTCCCAGGTTACAGGATGTAAACTTGTGTCTAGTTAAGTCATGAGAAAGAAGCCCCTCATGCTTAGGCTACATTTATTTGATCAAAAATACAATTAAAAAAATGAAATTTATTCCTGTGATGGCAAATCAGAATTTTCAGCATCATTACTCCAGTCTTCAGTGTCACATGATCCTTCAGAAATCATTCTAATATGCTGATTTACTGCTGATTTATTATTATTAATGTTGTAAACAGTTGTGCTGCTTAATATTTTTGTGGAAACTGTGATTGATTAAAAAAAGATGAATAAAAAGTTCAAAAGAACAACATTAATTTGAAACTGAAATGATTTAAAAAGAGTATTTCTTTTCATTTCTAGTAACTTAATAGTCCTAACTTTCACAGCTAATTTTTTTTCTGGACTATGCAATTTTTAAATTCAGTGGCGGTCATCACATCATGGCCTTGTCTCAATTCATAACAGAACTGTGTTCTGGCGTAATGCCGATGATGGACAGCTGCAAGCAAGTGGGCCGTAGCCACCGAGGCCCCCCGGTCAGAGTCTGGTGGCAGAACGCAGGCTTGTGGGCATTAGATCTGGTACTGCATCTCACACAGAGATGGAGGGGCTATGAGGCATTTGCCAGCAGGTGGTGTCAGCACACACGACGATATCTCTGCTCTGAGACCCCACTGTTAGCGAGGGAGATAAAGGTCTCAGCTGCATTAAACATGAATAGCTCAACTCTGGTGTGAGCTGGTGAAACCTGATTGATCTGTGTCCCTGCAGTGTGACAGTGGGAGGAGACAGAGGCAGCCGGGGGAGGGGAAGCTGCCATAATGCTCGGAATTCACAGCATTTGCTCCTGCAATGCTGAAAAAGCATTATTAAATTTAATAATTAACAGACATGAGCTCCCATGATTAATCTAGGGCTCAGTTCCACAACCTAGTGAGCTGCATTGAAAAAAAAAAAAGGTGTATAAATAATTTTCACTCAGAAATTGCTAGTAAAGTTCACAATTAATTACAAAGAAACTAATAAACAGCGAATTAAAGATAATTTATTTTAAAGCAGAAAGACTGAAATAGTATTTTCTCCGTAGAGGTGCTTGTAGCTGAATTGAACTTGTTTCATAATTGAACTTTGCAACATTGGCACTGAACTGAATTGAAACAACACTGAACTAAAGTGAGATGAATAATGACACTATTGCCTTCTGTAGCGCAGCTGAAACTGAATTTGTTTTACAACATTAACACTCTATTTTCCTGTTTATTAATGTGAAACTGCTTTGAAACAATCTGTATTGTATAATTGTATCTTGTAGCGCTACATACGTAAATGCGCCTTTTTTTTTTTCTCACCTCGGGAGATTTGACTTACAACTGCTCACATTTCAATACTCTAATAAATGTATATAAAATATTGGATAATCCCATTTACATGGATCTAAGGCAGCTATTGTAACTAAACCCCAACTTTTAAAACATATTGCTAAATTCCTTCTTTTATATATTTTCAAGAGGTTTCTTTCACTTTTTGACTCCAGTTAAGTCTAAGACTACAGAAGACTATTTATATTTTGGGATTGAGAAACCTGTTTTTCTCCTCTAAAGGCTGTTAGAAATCAGGTTTCATATCCAGGAATTCTGTCACTGAAATTAGGACAGCTAGTTTCGCAAAATTAGGCAGGATGAACGTCACATAATATAATTAATATTCATGAGCAAACCTAAAGTATGCTTGGCACTGTTTGTGCACTGAGCTACTGACAAAATATTAACTAAAGTAATTGTTGACAAAAATGTGCCGTTTCATAGTTGTCATTGTAAAGTTTGGGGCCAAATTATTGAAAAAAATAAATAAAGAAGTGACTGTAATTTAAACAATAAAGGGTTTTCATTATGGATTGTTTCTACACTCCTGCATAAAAGTTTTTGAAGAAACATTTTGGTTTTTGTGGTCATCACAGCAGAGCAG